GTCAGCGCTGAGGGAGCGCCGCACTGTCGGAGGGTCAGCGCTGAGGGAGCGCCGCACTGTCGGAGGGTCAGCGCTGAGGGGATGTTATATCGCTGGAGGTCCTGCCTTTTGAATAAGGCATTAAACCAGGTCACACTGGATAAAGAATTGCTCAGTGATAGCTGGAAAAAGAGCAGAACTGTGTGTGTGACCAACACACAGGACTGGGGGATTAGAGCAGTGCAGTTTGTGGAATCTTGCTGTGTATGTTTTGGCTGCCACGATAGCAGTGACTACCCTTCAGTTGCTGCGGTATGGTTTGCAACGTGCTGACGGTGGGACTATGAGCAGTGAATTGTAAGATCGTTGTGATGAGCTGCAGCAAGTGACCTCCTGTGTATTGCTGCTGCTGAAGCGTTTTGTTACCGAGTGTTTTCCTGAATGTGTTCCTCACGCTCTCGACCTGTGGATCCGACTGTCCAAGGTGGTGCCCGTCTGTGCCCAGGATTGTGCTGCTGAGGTACTGAACGTGTGGGGCTGGGGATTGGGGATTTGGGGGTGTTGGGGATGAGGGTGCTCGGGGGAGGAGGCGCTGGGGGGAGCACGTTGTGATGGGGAGAGGAGAGGGATGATGGGCGAGGGGGTTGATCCGGAGATTATTGCGGTGACAAGGAGGTGGTTGATCAGGGTGGGGGAGGAAGCGGAGGGTTGGTACAGGTACTACCAGGGTCCGGCTGTGAATTCAGGCCCCAGCTGTGACCTGCACTGAGTGGGACAAAAGGGAGGGTGACGGGGCTGAGCTCCACCCATCAGTCCCTCTGTCTTTCCCTTCAGAGAGTCTGTGAGTTGTTATAACACAGAATGAGGCCTTTCAGCCCATCAGGCCTGCACTGGTTCTTCAGATGACCATTGTTACTGCATGCCAGTCTCCTGTCTTTTGCCCGTTTCCCTGCATACTATTCAATAGCCCTCTTGAATGCCTCCATTAAACCTGTCACCTACAGCAATTGTGGATGTGCCTTGGGGAAGAGGAATTTGGGAGAGTTCTACCCTGCAGGGCCCAGGGATGGAGTGGTGGGGGGTGTGGTTGTGGGAGAGAGAGGTGGGTATTGGGGAGAGGGAAGGTGAGACAAATCAAGCCCAACCCCATTTTCCTCCTCCTTGCCCTCTCTTCACTGGGTAGCAATCTGGTTGTTGTTGTCATTGCTGGGTCGTGGGATCTTACTGTGCGTGATATATTGCCACATTTCCTGGGACACTTGCACAAGCTCTGAACCCCCGCTCAGCATGTCCCAACCTGTCCTCCATCTTCGATCCAAACAGTGCTGCATTCAGTGGGTCATTGACTGGGTAGACTGAGAGTTGGGGCATCATTCCTGGCCAGTGGGATTAAGTCTGTAGCATTCACTCCCAGTTTGTAGGTTTGCTCCCCCTTTACTCCCTGCTTCTGTTTGTGATCACTCCTGTTTTCTTCACTCCAGAATGTCAGACCAAGCTTCCTGTCAATCATGACTCCAATTTTCATCTGCCATGTCATGGGTCTTGCCCTCTACTATGTGCCACTCCTGTGCCAGGGAACAGCTACGGAGCATTTCCCCATCTCAGAGACTGAAGCAGTCGTGCTCACCTCTATAGCCATCTATGTGGCTGGACTCGCTTTACCCCACAACACGCAGAGGTAGGACACAGGGTCTGTGGAAAGCCAACCAAACAGTCTCAGTATGTAGGGAATAAGCATGACTGAGGAAGAGAAATCAGGACAGTCACGAAATAGGGTAGGACACTGGAATCAGTGACAGAGAGAGAGCAGGTAACTGACTCATTGTCCCATGTACCAAAGTACAGTGAAAAGCTTTGTTTATGAGCAGTACAGGCAGATCATAGTAACAAGGATGTACAGAGCAAAAAGACTTAGACAGAGGCATACAGGTTACATTGCACAGGGTGTGCGATAGGCGAGGTCAACATTAGCAAGATCAGCATTATTTGAGGCTAGAGAGTCCATTCAATAGTTTGATAACGGCTGGGAAGAAGCTGTTCCTGAACCTGCTTGTGCGTGTGTTCAGGCTTCTGTATCTTCTGCCTGATGGAAGAGGTTGTAGGAGATCATTACTGGGGTGCGATGGATCATTGATGATGTTGACAGCCATTCTGCACAAACGAGCCATGTAAATAGAGTCCATGGATGGAAGGTTAGCTTCTGTGATGGTCTGGGCTGTGCACATCACCTTCTGTAGTTTCTTACAGTCCTGGGCAGAGCAGTTGCTGTACCAGGCTGTTATGAACCCGCACAGTATGCTTTCAATGGTGCATCTGTAGAAGTTGGTGAGGGAGTTTATGGACATGTCAAATTTCCTGAGCCACCTGAGGAAGAAGAGGTATTGTTGTGCCTTCTTCACTGTCGCATCTACGTGGGAATTCCAGGACAGGTTGTCGGTTATCGTCACTCCGAGGAACTTAACACTCTCCACCCTCTCAACCTCAGTTCCGTTGGTGTAGATGGGGGTGTGTTCTCCTCCTTTCTTCCTGAAGTCGATGATCAGTTCTTTAGTTTTGCCAACATTGAGAGACACATTGTTTTCATTGCGCCACGTCACCAAACCCTTTAACTCCCTTCTGTATTTTGACTCGTTGTTGTTAGATATCTGTCCTACTACGGTGGCGTTGTCAGTGAACATGTAGATGATGTTCGTTTGAAAGTTTGCAACACAGTCGTGGGTGTACAGGGAGAGTACATTAGGGGGCTGAGGACACATTCTTGGGTTGTGTCCTGAGGACACATCCAGTGTTGAGTGTTATTGTGGAGGAGTTGCAGTTACCTATCCTCACTGATTGCGTTCTGTGGGTCAGAAAGCTGGGGATCCAGTTGCAGAGGGTGGACCAGAGACCTCGGTCCTGGAGTTTTGAGATCAGTCTGGAGGGGATAATGGTGTTGAAGGCAGAGCTGTAGTCGATAAGCAGGAGTCTGAACTAGGTGTCTTTGTTATCCAGATGTTCCAGGAATGAGTGCAGGGCTAGGGATATGGCATCCTCTGTGGACCTGTTATGCCGGTAGGCAAATTGTAGGAGGTCGAGGGGATTGAGGCAGGTTGGGAGACTGGAGTTGGTGTGGGCCATGACCAGCCTCTCGAAGCACTTCATGATTATTGAAGTAAGAGCCACTGGTTGACAGTCATTAAGGCACATTGCATGTGCTTTCTTAGGTATGGGGATGATGGTGGTCTTCTTGAAGCAGGTGAGCACTTGTAGGAGGGAGAGGTTAAAGATGCTGGTGAATACTTTCACCAGTTAGTCTGCACAGGACCTAAGTGCTCAGCTGGGGAAAACGTTCAGCTTTCCTTAGGTTGATTCCCAGGAAGAAATGAACCAGCGATTGGCTGTTACCTGTTTTGAGCTGAAGCAGATACTATGTGCAAATCCATCTTTCCTTTTGCAAAAAACAGCTTTAACAAAATGTGTCTTTTTTGCGAGAATTTATTTACTACGCGAGTTGTTGTGATGTGGCAGGCACTGTCTGAAAGGGCAGCAGGAGCAGATTCAAGAAGAGCTTTCAGAAGGGAATTGACTCAATTCTGGCAGAGCTGTGGGATGGTTGGATGTTACTGAGGAGCTCTTTCAGTCAGCCAGCAAACACACTGACTGGAATGGAGATGGGTGATTTCTAACCGTGTGAAGTAGCTGGATGTTAGTATTGACGTGAAGCCTGTGCGCTGTGTAACTGCGGCTGTGTTTCTGTTCTGACAGTGCCTTGCCTATTGAGCAGGCTGCCCACAGCTGGATGACGCTGAAGCTGATTGCGATTCTGTACCTGGCTTTGCTCCTGGGCTGTATCACCTTGATCAACTTCTCACTGGGTTTCATTCTGGCTGTCACCCTGATCCCAGCTGCTGCCCTTGCTCAGCCAGAACCCCATAGGTAAGGGATACTAGGATGTCGGAGGGAGGAGGTTCAGTTGGGGGCTGTGGGCTAGGAGCTCCGATCCGGTGCTGTGTGGAAATGATGTCTGGGGGGGGTCGGTGGATCATTCTTTGAAAGGGCCAGCACACTCACTGAGGGCTGTCTGGCCTCCCTACAGGCTGTGACGACTCTGTGGAATCCAAAGTGTTGGTTTTGTTTGAAAGATTTGTGTGTGTTATTGTGCCTTTGACAGGCAGGGCATCCAGGTGAGGGACTGGAAGGGCCAACCTCATTTCTCCCAAGTTAAATCCTAACCGTGGCCACAGTTCCTGAAAAGCTACAGGGCCCCCAGCTCCCCATCTTTCCTGTGCAGAAAAAGGTGAGTTTGTCTTCTGGCTGAAATTCACATCACACCCCAGATCACCCCACCACCTCCCCACATCCCCCCATCATATGGTGAACCTTTGTCCAGGCAGGGGGACATCCATTAAACCAACAAGAGAGCTCAGTCAAGATGCTTTGTCCCTGGGAGTGCACATCCCTATCCTTGTGGGAGTGCAGATTGTATCAGAAATTCATGGCAGTTGTTGTGAAGGTGAGGAGCTGTGACATATCACCTCCAAGCACCTTTAGGTCAGGGTAAAGCATCCACAGTAATCTTCAGCCAGAAGTGTCGAGTGGACGGTCCATCTCAGCCTCTCCGGTTGTCCCCAGCATCACAGATACCAGTCTTCAGCCAATTCGATTCACTCCACGTGATATCAAGAAACGGTTGGAGACACTGCATACTGCAAAGGCTACGGGACCTGACAATATTCTGGCGATAGTACTGAAGACTTCTGCTCCAGAACTTGCCGCTCCCCTAGCCAAGCTGTTCCAGTACAGTTACAACACTGGGATCTAACCCGACAATATGGAAAATTGCCCAGGTATGTCCTGCACACACAAAGCAGGACAAAACCAACCCAACCAATTACCGCCCCATCAGTCTCCTCTCGATCATCAGTAAAGTGATGGAAGGTGTCACTAACAGCGCTATCAAGCAGCACCTGCTCAGCAATAACCTGCTTAGTCCCGCCAGGGCTTCTCAGCTCCTGACCTCATTACAGCCTTGGTTCAAACATGGACAAAAGAGCTGAATTCCAGAGGTGAGGTGAGAGTGACAGCCCTTGATATCAAGGCTGCATTCGACCGAGTGTGGCATCAAGGAGCCTGAGCAAAACTGGAATCAATGGGTATCAGGGGGCAAACTCCCCGGTGGTTGGAGTCATATCTGACACAGAGGAAGATGGTTGTGGTTGTTTGGGGTCAGTCATCTCAGCTCCAGGAAATCTCTGCAGGAGTTCCTCAGGGTAGTGCCCTCGGCCCAACCATCTTCAGCTGCTTCATCAATGACCTTCCCTCCATCATAAGGTCAGAAGTGGGAATGTTTGCCGATGATTGCACGATGTTCAGCACCATTCGTGACTCCTCAGATGTTGAAGCAGTCTGTGTTCAAATGTAATATGATCTGACGATATCCAGGCTTAGGCTGACCAGTAACATGTGTGTCACACACATGCCAGGCTATGACCATCACCAATCAGAGACAATCTAACCACCGCCCCTTGACATTCAATGGTGTTACCATCACTGAGTCCCCCACTATCAACATCCTGGGGGTCACCATTGAGCAGAAACTCAACTGGACTCACCACATTAACACAGTGGCTACAAGAGAGGGTCAGAGGCTAGGAATACTGCGGCGAGTAACTCCCCTCCTGACTCCCCACTCAGGCACAAGTCAGGAGGATGATAGAATTCTAGGCTGCAGCAGTTCAAGAAGGCAGCTCACTGTCACCTTCAGTTAGGGATATGTAATAAATGTTGGCCCTGCCAGCAACACCCTCAGCCTGTCATTGACCCTTCAAAAAGAAGGTTGTTGTTCTGTCTATCGGCCTGTCTTTTGCACACCCAGCTTGCATGTTCCTCAATATTGAATATTTTTCGGTGCAATTTTGCATTTTATTTACTGACCCAGACAGAGTCAAGATAGCAGAATTCCTTCCCTAAAGTGGACTAGATAGATCAGATAATTTCATTACTAATATTTAGTCCCAATTTACTTCTTCAATTCTATTTAAATTCACTCAGTTCTTGCGGTGGGATTTGAACGGGGTGTCTCTGTCTCAGTAGACCATGTTTCTGCATTAGTTTCCTCCCCAGCAGCAGTGTGGGTTTACCTACACGCATGGTTCAGGAAGGTAGTTCACCAGCATCGCCACTTAAAGGGCAACTAAGGACAGGCAATAAATGCTGCAGTAACACCTCCATCCCATTACGTGAATTAAAAATTAATCCAGCTCCATAAACACTCCGCTTGTATTCCTGTGTCTTTTTTTTGTAATTAGATTGAGTGCAGCACAATCTTCACATTCCTCTGAAAATCACGCCATAAAAATGGGATAATTTTTAACCGAGACAACAAGGTGCAGGGCTGGATGAACACAGCAGGTCAAGCAGAGAGGCTGACGTTTCGGGCCTAGACCCTTCATCAGAAAAGGGGGAGGGGAAGGGGGTTTTGAAATAAATAGGGAGAGAGTGGGAGGCG